GACATATAGTAATGATTAAATGTTTAAGAATTACGGTTGAAATTTCATCAAAACAATACAAATATTAAAAAAAAATGTTTTATAAATTTTTTACTATTATTTAATTTTTTTTAAATTATTTTTGACTTATTAATAATTTGACAGTTTAGAATTACGCTTTTATTTGATTAAAATCGGAATACGCTATCATATATGTAGCTGCCACAGAAACTATCGAATAATTGAGCTGCAAATCATCATAGCTTCAATGTTTTTAAACATATACGCAAGTAAATCACAATTTTAATGCTTTCAAGAATATTACGTTTTTGCAATAGCTGCAAGGGTATATGAACTTCGGCATGCCGAAGATTTTTTCGTTTCTTGTTTATTTTTTTTCTTTCATTAGAAGAGTTTGTAGATCGAGGCGGATCAGTTCCGTCAATAAGTAGAAGTGGAAAAAATTATTTTCTTACTTCGTTTCAACAAGTAGTGTTAGTGGGTTACAGTCCACAATTACCTTTCAAAAATCCCCAAAAAAAAATTTAAATTTAACGTTTGGTTCACAGTTCTGTTAAAAGAATTATTGTGATCGATTAAAAAAAACTGTGCTTAAACTGCAAAAATCAATAATGCCATTCTTATAAGCATCTTCTTAAGAAAACTAAAATCTTGTAAACTGAGTGTGAAATGCACTGCTCAAGTTTCCGACATAATACACGAACTCTCATTTTAATTAAATCGTTCGAATTTGTGTCCTTTTGAAATAGAACGAAAATCAATAAGGCTCTGACTCTCTCCATGCCCATAACCAAACTCGCCACTTTACAAAAACCGCAATGGTGCTCGTGTGCACTGCGCTCTTTCTGACCGGCACTGGAGAGAGCTTTTCACTTTCTGCTCTCCGCTGGCGGCTGCTCTCGAAATCTAAATTTCAAGTTCGTCTCCCGGGCAATGCAATCCATCCTTCTGGGGTTTCGTTTTGGTTAGCTTCAACTCCCCCTGAATTTTCTGCATCCACGTCCATTCACTCGCAGGTCGGGGAAGAGACGGAACGCAAAACGATGCTACGATAAATATGTAAGGCTGCACAACAAAGGAACGTTACGTTCCCCAGCCCTTGTGCTGGTTGAAAACGAAACCGGATTTCTTTTTTTTTTCGATTTTCGTCTACTCTTCCACTCCGTTTTGTTGCCCTTTTTAGAAGTTCGAACTTAGTGTTGTCTCGTGCTGCGAACTGCTTTACTGGTTTTTTTTTTGCATTTGACTGAGTTTTCGGAATGCAGTTTGGTTTTGTTTCGCTTTTGCTCTGAAGTTCGGGCACTTCTTGCTTTATTTGCTTTTTTATATACATATTTTTGTTTTCGTTCTCGTACTTCTTGACTTATTTACTTCTTTTTTGTATTTATATTTTTTGTTCTCGTACTTCTTAGCCTGATTCACAGTTTCCGCGCAATTTTTTGCATATTTGCGTGGTGGACAGGTTTTTCTTTTATTTATTATTTGTGTTTTATTTTTAACTTTTCGCGACTTGAAAAAGAGAACAACAAAATCTTTTGTTTTGGTTTTGAAACGGAACTGGTTTTTGAGTCAGTTGGTTGCTTGGCCAAATAGAGGGCCGTGAAAAAATCCCTTGATCTGCAAGTAATCTACTCTAAAACTTTAATGGGGTTATGACACTACATTGTTGGCCTCACTCATTGCTAATTTTGTTTTAACTATATGATTTTACTTAAGTGCTAGCAAGACAACCTATGACAATTCTAATGAGCAATGAATGAGGAAAATTGTCAGAACCGATAACCGATAGTAAAAAATATGAAGCAAATTTTGGTATAAAAAAAAACCATTCGATGAAGAACCACCGGGGCCGACACATCAATGAGAAAAATTGTATTTAAAAAAGTGACCGTGATTTTATAACTAAAAAAATCTCAAGCACTTTACATAATGAATTCGTCAATGAATGAGGCGAACATTGTAATGACATACCCGTATAAGCAAAACTCTGCAAATGGAAGTCAACTGTATTCTAGTACTTCAGGAAAATATAGAGATCAATAAAATCAACATAACATACAGTATGTCAGGAAACACTGTACAAACTGAAAGTAAATTTAATTTTTTGATGTATACATTTTTTTAATTAAAATTAAAAATTAAACACATTTTTGACACTGTCAAGTAACTCTTTTTACAAAACACTTAAAGTACGATTAAATCTATATATTTAACAACCTTTACTATCTTAACTTAATTAAAATATTCACGAATCTAACACTCCGCCGTTCAACCGGTTGCATACGGATTTTACTGTCTGCGAAATAAGGGTATTTTTTTTTGACTGAGGTCTTCGTAAAAATTAGCAATACCACATAGCATATGTTTCACAGCCGCTAAAGCCCACAAATCACCGTTTATGCAAGCTTGAAAAATTCGTATTAATTAGATTAACCGGCGAAATGTTGACTTTAATAGCTTGTTAGATTCGTTCCATCTGCAAGATAAAGTGATCAAATTATTTTCGGTCTTCAGGCGTGTATTTTTAAGAATTAATTTATGTTGAAACTACAGTTTAGCAATTTATCCTTATAACATATATGGGAAAGTTGAAGAATGATCTATTTCTAGTGAAATAAGCGATCGATGACCAAAATGAATGAAGCAGAACTGGTGATGCAAAAACGTTATTTACACTTAAAAAATAAATATTGCGATAGAAAACATTTTGATTGTCGTTTTCAGAGAGTCTACCTGCAACGGAAAATCAATGTTTGAACTCATAGGGTTTCGTTGATAAAATTTGCTATTACTGAAAAGGAAAATTAAATTAAATGGATTTATTATATTTCCAACAAGGGAACAATGTACAAAGTTAAATACGGGAATGTTGGATCTTGTTCCTTCAGAAAAAAATATTTCTAAGAACTAAAGACTTAATCGAAGTTAAATCTGCCATTTAAAGCAGTAAAATCTTTAGAAAACCTTTTAAAAAAGGAAAGTGCTCAGAAACAGCTAATTTAGCGGATATTAAATAAGTAAAAAAGGTGCAAAAAAATTGTTACTTCGAAATTTAGACGTTGCAAAAGGTCCAGGAAATGGCGCAATAAGAATTATAAAAAACTGCTTGAGAAAGTAAATATCGTAAATATTTAATTATCGCCCGCATTGTAAAATCTGTTGTAAAAGAAAATGAATATGAAATTGAGCTCAAAATTCAACTAAATCAAAATGTTAAAAAAAAAAGGAAATTGGCATAAAAACAGGTAAAAAACATTATATACACTTTTAAAAAAATGGTGCTATACAAACCATTTTTGGTATAATTTTTGAAACAGCGAGTCCATCTGCACCGGAAAATGAATGAATGTCATTGCCAGTTCCACACCAAATGATATAGTAAATTTTATCTGCGGTATTTGAAAAATTGTTGAAAATGGCAAATGTCCGCATTACAGAGTCAGACACTAATTAAAAACTAAAGCCGTGTTCTTATTTTTGCACTTAGTTCAGTCGATCATTTCTATGGAAAAAACAACTTTTATTTAAAAAGTACTTCACAAAATAAGATTTGAATTGCAAACAAAAGATACAGTTTATCAAGTGCAATATTTCACCATGGCCAAGGCTTAAGTAAAGGACGTTATACATCCATTTTACGAAAAGAGGGAGTGCAACAATAACTAAATCTTCTTGGCCTCGTTTCAGCAAGATCTGTATAGACTTTTCTATGAAGAAAATAAATTGTTAAATAATTTGTTCGAAAAAAAAATTAAGTTTGAGAAATTATTTTTTTGGAAACAGAACAGAAAAACAGTACATTTTTATTTTTATTTTTTAATTGCCTGACTTTTAAAGACTTATTGCATACTTTTCACTTTGAATTCTTATACTGGTTTTTGGCAAATTTGAATGGATGCCGTGTGGCGCTACCGGCTAATGCGTCGTTGAGCCATCTAGGAATGAAAAAGAAGTAAGTTTGTCTTTCCCTTTAACATAACACTATAATTTTTCGAATAAAATATAATAAAATAACATTTATAAAAATATGTACCATTTTTAGGTTTTAAAAAAAATTTGTTTGAGTGTAGATCACGTATATAATAAATATTTTAATGGGTTGGTTTCTCTCCTTCATTAAAAAAGTATTAAAATGCGCGTCTGCATTTATTGTTAGCTTATTCTCAAAGATGAAACTTAAGCAAAGCCAAAATGCTTTCTTAAAAATACTATTTGCAAAGTTGTATGTTAGAATCGCTTAGGTTATTTATGCCGTTCGGCTTAAGAAGAGCTCGCACCGATGCCATTCTTGGCACATAAGAAACAAAGGGTAGAGCGACCGCACTTGCGTGTGGAACGATTCCCTAAGCCTTTCGCTTGGCCTCGATTGTCTGCTTTTCATATTGAAACCAGGCCGTTTAAGACAGAAAGAGTGTCAGTTCCTTCGAAATGCAGGGCAATCGCAAATAAGGCGTTAGACGCTCTCCGTCTCATCTCCATTTCCTCAGGTGCGACAGAAGTCATAGTATGGCGCACCGTAATTTTGCGCCGTTTGGGTAATGGCACAATGCCTTGTGATGATTCACGTCAGTGCCCAGCGAAAACGCACTGAAAGAGTATTTTTAAGATTGTCACCGTGAAGCCTATACGGATTGCCGAACCAGCCTTAGCGCATTTATCAGTCATCTTGTTTTCCGAGATGAGCTTAATAAAATTCTCAGGTATATATACAGGAGAATAGTATATAGTGCAGTATAGTATACATATTTTATTTCATTGTCCTCCGAAACGTAAGTAGGAGTTTACACAGATTATTAAAATTATTTGTACGTTTAACACAGCAATGATAAGAGTTTAACAACATAAACAATAATAAATTAAGGTTCAAAGTAACACGATTTCGCAAAATTAAATTTATTCATAGATGATGTTTTGACTGTAGCTATACTCATGGTTTTACAGCGAGCCCGGCAGATAAGAGAGGTTGATCATTTTTAACTGATAGAAAACTTCAGTACAACATTTTCACTTGACCAGACTGCGCTTAAGTAAAACCGAGACCAAACTCAACGGTCTTATCTAGTTCCTTATAAGTGTATACTTTAGGGTAGCGATCGTAAGTCTGAGCCTAGCATCATGGTATTAGCTGCTTTGCTAAGCGCAACCAGCTGAAGTCAACAAAGCTTATAAAGACGCCCACGCGACTGCAAGCCTTCTCATTTCCAAAGTGCTCTGCCAAACGCACTAGACTAAGTGTAAAACGCAGTAGGTAAAAATCCTTCTCTCGCGCCGAAATTGTAAAATAAAAACGTGATCGTTATTGGCAGTAAAGAAATTTCGTGCGATCAAAGGCATTCCGATCGGCGTTGGCAAAACCCCAGGTGCCTCGAGCAAGTTCTGGTTTACGGAAACACTTCCAAGGCAAAGCTGAACAGTTTCAATTAAAACTCTCGGGAATTATATTGCATCACAGGTATGTCCCACCTCTGGTTTATACACAGTACCCTTAATAACACCAGATTTTATCAAATTTTCGAAAGTTTTCCCCCCATACTCAGACGCATCACGGCTTACGCTGGAACGGCCTTGAGTTCAGGATTTCTGGATACGAAAGTAATTCGTGGCTTTCTATAAGAACCACGCCCAACTTTGAGTGCTATTCTCATCGGATCAGGAAACTGAGGACATCAAATAAACATTGAAGGCTTAGCGACCCCTTCTATAAATTTTGCACAGTCTCTAAAAGTTTGGTGAAAATGGTTGTTGCTGGAATATTAAAACCTGGCGATGACACAAATGAATACAGTTAAAGCTTTTCATTTGCCAATGTAATCTTTATCAGTGTACACCCCGCTCTGCTAAGTTATTAAAAATCCGCATGGCCGCATCCACTGCTGGTAACCTTATATGTATTATTCTTGGCAAATCCATGTGAAAAAAAAACTAAAATTAACTAAGAGCAATTCGAACAGGAAAAAACAAAAAAGATAAGAGACCAGCTACACACACCTTTGAGTGATTAAAAGAATGTAACCAAAACAAAAATAACTATGAATGAGAATAGTTTTTCATATATCTAAAAAGAAACACCATATTAACAATTTCTTACTTTCTAATAAGAATGTTTTGATAAAGCGAATTAGGTTTAGGCTCAAAGCAATAGTAAGCCCGAACCATTTCTCAAATGCACAGCTTGACGGTTTTTTATACATAGAAGGGACTTTTAACAACGTCACCCCAGAAGCAATTTCCCGAGCACTGAAAAGTCTGGTAGTTGAACCACCACTAGTGAGAATCAATGCTTACCAGCAGAGTGTTGTCCACAATTATGGGATCGGCTACATGCTACATGGTTCGTCAGCAGAGGAACCCCTCAAGGAGGAGTCCTCTCCAACCAACGACTCTTGAAAAATGTTTTTTCTAATGCATAGAAATTCGACATTGATTTTAGAAATTCGCCTACAATTTGGATTTATGGGCGGTTTTGTCTATATTACAGAAAGGTACAGTGCAAAATTTTTCTAAAACAGAAATTATTTTCTATATACACTGACGAACAAAAAAAATATATACACTGACGAGAAAAACTGTAACACGAGTTCAATACTCCTACTTATTCTGTTCTAATTTATGCACGCTAAAAATCTTAGTCTTGTTTTGTTGGTATAATGGAAACCTCCACCGTGATTACCGAACTTTACTTGGTGAGTGGATTGTGGGATCTCTAGTCCAATACCAGGAACGACCAACTGACCAAAATCGGTTCATTTTGGTTTCGTCCGACCATATAACCTTGAAGACCCAAAAATTTTGAAATAGGTTGCATTTAGCAAAGTTTATTTCCTTAGCTTTCAGACCTAATCTATCAAAACTGCGACGAATTGTCCAAGCAGTGGCATTTAAATTAAGCATCGTCGCCGCTTTTACTGGCTTAAATTAGAACAGAAGATACAGACCTTTGAAGTTGAAGTATTGACAGATTTTCTAAAAATACTCTTAACTTTTCAAGCTTGGTGGAGAGTGGCTGGTACCTGTTTAAATATATGTTATTTTATAATATATTTATTTTTTTATGTGCCCGCTCTCTGTAATTGGAATGAAAGGAAAGGAATAACGATAAATTACGCTAGTTTACTGCCGAAATACCCCCAAACCAAAAATACAAATTTCTGGTAAAGTACGACTTCTGAATTACGTGTATACCACTAAATTTTTTTTCTTTGGGACAGTTTTTTGTTAAATTTTTTTTAAGTTTTCAAGTTTTGATTTATATCTCGAGTTGTGGCCAATCGATCTTGGTGCATTTTAGAAAATTTTACTACCAATAGATCAATCTTTAACATTGTCAAACCGACTAATTGGATTGATAGTCATTTGTCTGTAAGAGCTCGACAAACACAAACTTTTTGAAAATTTTTGGCTGTTAAACGGCTATAAAACGGCAGCTACACCCTTAAATGTAAACAAAAAGTGCTTAATATTTTTATATTGTTTCTATGGCAGCTATGTATAAGATAGTCGTCCCATTTTGTTGATACAATTTAAACCGTAATTCTGAAATATTTAACCATACCTATATGTCGAAGAACTACAAAAAAAAATTAACAAACAACAAAGTTATAATTTATTTTTATTTATTATTCGGATTGTTCCTATGGGAGCTATATGCTATCCGGCTCGTTCCGACTTATGTACTACCTGCAATAGAAAGACAACTTTCGGAAAAGTTTTATGCAGATAGCTTTAAAACTGAAAGACTAGTTTGGGTAGAAACGGACGGACAGACGGATATGGCTAGGACGACTCTCCTGAGGATGCTGATCAAGAATATATATAATTTATAGATTCGGAAAAGTCTCCTTCACTGCGTTGCAAACTTCTGACTGAAATTGTAATACCCTCTGCAAGCGTATAAAAACTGTCCCATAGAAAATTTTTTCAGTGGGATACTCTTAATCTAGAAGTCGTACCAGAAATTTATATTTTTGACTTGGGGTATATGAACTTCGGCTTACCGAGGTTTGCTTCCATTCTTGTTAAGAATATTTTTTGGGGTAGACGATCCTAGAAATTCCTTAAGTCAATACCATACTAATTCTATATAGTGTCAAAGACTATACGGAGATATTGCCACGCAAAGAAGCTATTGAAAATATCGAAAATATCAATCGGTCACTACAATAAGTTTCAATTTGGTGATCTTGTCATTAAAAACTTTTTACCACTCAATAGTGTCACATTGACACCTAAATAGGAGCATATTATTTAATCATTTATATACCTGAGAAATGGTCAATTCTTTAGTTGGAAACAAAAGTGAAATATAAAATATAGGATAGTTATATTCTCGAAGATATTTTAACACGTTAGCCTATAAACACAGCGCCTTGCTCTAAAGATACCCAACAAAGTCATGCTCCACAATCAGGGGTATTGTGGGCGTGCAAAACGATCTGGCTTTGGCTTTCTGAATTTCTTCCCCGACTAAACAAATGGTCCCTGGCCCTGCGGAGTTCCCATTCCATCTGGCTAAGTCGGCGACCAATGCCGTCACGCATTATTGCGAGCACTACCATATCCCGCTCCACTCGCTCTTTGCTGATCAAGCTGCGATTGAATGTATCACAGAAGTCTTCAAAAGAGTTGTCCAGATTGAGCATCTTGCATTCGAGGCCTAGGATGTTTCTTCGAAGACTCTTGGCTTGATTGTGGAGGTCGTTCAAAGGATCGCTGATAATAGTTGCTTGAGCTGCAGAGTGGATATCGGCTGTACCAACTGGACTATTTTTTTCCGGCTCTCCTATGCTGCCATAGTACTTATGAATTTTCAAAAGGTTAGCTCGGAACTGACCCCAGTCCGCACTATCCGGATTCCTCTCCATGCTAGACGTGAATTGATTGATTTCGTTGATGAGCTGGGTGATCCCATCGCTCCGGAGAACCTCTCTCTCAGGGGCTTCCCCTGTTTCATCCCCTGTTTCATCGTTCTTAGATTCATCTTCTGTCTTAGATTCATCCTCAAGCTCGGATTTAGGTTCCCTTTTAACAGCTCCGTCTTCCGTATGCTCCATCATACCCCTCTGTGTGTGTATTGCAGCAAGGTTATATTCTAGTTGCCAAAAGTACCCACTCCTACCTTAATGAGGACTTCCTTAAGGCTTTTGGCCTTGGAGCTGAACTTGACCATGAACTCGTTTCGCATTTCCTTGACTATTTCCGCGATTCCCCCGCGATCCGCCGACCTAGACAAGAGCCTCGGATAGTCCCCTGCCTCGTCCTCGACAAAGACCTGGTCCAGAGAGTCGTACTCGATCAAACCCTTCTGAGAGATTGGATTTTTTATTACCGATCTCCCCCAATTGACCGTTTGTACTTACCTCAACCAACAGGCCAAGGTGGAAGTCGTCCGAGCTGAGCTCGGATGGAACATGCATGCCATCCTCGGATGGTATCACCGTCTCTTGGCTCCAACTCCGCTTCAGAGTAAGCAGGCTGTCCGACGACCTGACCATAGTCCACGGTTCGACCCCATCCAACTCCATAGACGCATCGTCCGTGGGCATTTCACGTTTCAATTCCATTTCACCGAAAATTTATAAATTTCCTATACTGGTACAAGTAAATACCAATCACTGTAAATTTAAACTAAACTCGCGTTCAGACTCCAAACTCGAAACCTTTTGCTCTGACAGGTGATCCAGAGTCTCCTGCTTTCAACCAACTTAAGGGAAAGGGGCCTTAGCCGTGGCCTAGATCGTAACAACCAGACCACGAGCACAGACAGCGGAAATTAGCTTCGCGTTTCTGTAACGCATTAGCACAACCAATAATTTGAGGCATCGTAAACACGTCGTAAATTTTGTACAGCAAATTTAGGTCTTAATTTTCTGAAGAACACAACAGATCCCAGTGCTACTGCAAGGCGTAATTATAGTCCATTAAATTCGCTGAGATTGCTACACTGCTGTTCTTTCTTTCCACTTGGCGTATGCATGATAAGTGCCACTTTCCGCCAACCTCTTTCCTCCTCATGTGTTAGCTCACTTTGATGAAAACGTCTCGCATTTCTTTTTGCCACTTTCAAGTGGCATGCAAGAGTCTTTGCTGAGCTGTAACACAGGTTAAATCCCAACCCTCCACAAATGCATATCTGTTCTGTTAAAACGACTAGTACTTCTCTTTTTTTCAAAATTAAACAAATTTTTGAAACTACTTAAAAAGAATTTTGCCCTTTTAACTCAAGGTGAAATGTCAACATAGCTTTTAAATTATATCAAACAAAAAGACGTAACGATCGCATCTTAAACTCAAGAAACTTCTGATATCATATTTTGTGACAATTAAAATATATTTTATTGAAGGAGACGTTTTCGTTGATCAGCATCACTAGGAGAGTCGATCTAGCCATGTCCGTTTGTCCGTCCGTTTCTACGCAAACTAGTCTCTCAGTTTTAAAGCTATCTGCATGAAACTTTCCCAAAAGATGTCTTTCTATTGCAGGTAATTTATAACTCGGAACGAGCCGAATCGGACGACTATAAAAATAATATATAATCGTAAAGATTAAATAATTTAGAATTACGGTTTAAATTTAATCAAAAGCGGACGACTATAACATAAAGCTCCCATGGGAACATTAAAAATATTAAAATAAATTAAATTAAAAAAAAATAACTTTTCTTTATACCCTTGCAGAGGGTATTATAATATCAGTTAGAAGTTTGCAACGCAATGAAGGATACGATACAAGAAACTCTTTTCACAAAACAGTTAAGCTAAGTTTAAATCTAAATATTTAACATCTTATACTTATACTTAACATCTTAACTTAATTCAAATATTTTGTATGAGTCTTTTAGCATTAACGACATGCTGTAGCCGTTTTTTTCATTGAATGGTCCAAAATGGAAGTTATATTCGAAAGGAAACTTCTGACACTCCTTAATAATACTGGCTTACAAATTTAAATCGATGAAATCCTCCAAAGATCAAACCTTGATTTTCCGGTGCAGATCGACTCCCTGTTTCAAAAAATGATGCTCCAAAATTTTTGTATGTTACCATTTTTTTTAGTGTAAATAACGTTTTTCACCTGTTTTCATATTCATTTTTTATTTGGAGGTCTTCTTAACTGATTTCGGTCATCGATAGAATAGAAAAACAAAATGCGTAAAGTGTTTCTTGACAGATTCAAAAATGTGTTAACAAATCTTTTGTTGAATTTTTCATTTTTATTGAATTTTTGGGTTATTTTTTTAAACTGCCTAATTAGGAACACTCCAACTTAAAAAATTGCTTTAAAAAATATGATAAAATTTAACAGAATTTGTTTGTTTTTGCATGTAAAGTCAAAAAATAAAATGTATTTATGTTGTGTAAAAAGTTTCTTGACATACTATATATTCTTGACCAGCTATGTCCCTCTGTCCGAAGGGTTGGTACACTTTCGATAGTTTTGGCTATCAATGGTGACCACTATCGATATTATCCATAGTATCGCAATATGTTCCAAACGCCAAAAACAAAACTGCATCGAATAAGTTTTTGCAGACAATCAACAAAAATTAGTAACAGGGCCTAGTGCAGTGGATTTGCAACGAATGCCTCTCCCAAAGACGATTCAGCTATTTAAACCAGATGCTGTCTTTGACTATCTCGGCCTGTCGGCAAAGGTCAGGGATGCAAGGCTGTCGTCACTGTGAAGAAATAAGTTTCCTCGACAAGAGTTTGCATTGGTTTCAAGAGCTCGTCTTGTTTGTCTGCGTGCAATGTTTGTCTGCCGCAATTAGGCTGCCAAAAGCCGAAGCACAGACAAAACTATGACCCATCCAGGCATAATTGAGTTTTAGTTTTCTGCAGTTTTCGTCTGCCATTGTACTGAGGTCAAAAGCATCTTCTTCTTTCTTTTGTACTTAATTATAATAGTCTTGCCGAGGGTATTGTAATTTCTGTCAAAAGTTTGCAAGCAATGAACGAGACGTTACCTGTCATTAGTATTACTACACAGAAAGAAAAAACCAAGAACAATGTTCTTAATCTGAGAACAATGTTCTTAATCTGAGAACATTCGTTCTTAAAAACGAAAATACTTGTTCAAAGAACATTTTGGTGGTGAATTAGTTACTAGTTTAAAACCATGTTGGTATTAAATTATTAACAAAAAGGGTTTATCTTGATAACATTGTGGTTTATTTTTTTAGTTGTTTTGATAATTAACTTAATAGCTTACCCAATGTTTGATATTCCAAGACACTTAATCCAATCATTTTAAGAATTTTCTTGTTTAAAAAACGGTGTACTTATTTGAGAATATTTTTAAACAAACCACATTTCAAGAACCAGTTAAACTTGATTTAAACATTTTGTTCTCAAAAATTTCGTTATATTTTTGAGAACATTTTCAACCCAGCTGAGAACGTCAGAATTCTCTCTGTATAGGAGAGTCGATCCAGCCATGTCCGTCGTCCCATTGTCTATACTAGTCTCACAGTTATAGAGCTATCTGGATGAAACGTTTTCAGAAGTGTATATTTATTGCAGGTTGTTATTAAGTCGGAACGGGCCACATTAAAAAACTAAAACATAAAGCTCCCATAGGAACAATCGGAAAAATAAAGGACAATTAAATAATAACTTCACTGTTTTTCAATTTGTTGTCGAACTTTTTTAGCTGCGTTTTTTGTTTATAAATGCAATTCATCATTTTTATTGGGTACATATTAATTGCGTCTAACCTCAAACGGGTGCCCAAAAATGTGTCACATTTCTGAAGACCAGGCGGCTTGTATTCTAAGCAAGTCTTATTTTAATTTATTTGGCATCGCTTCGTTCCGTTTCGTTTTGGACGCCAATTGGTCGACCGCACTTGAAATTGGATATCAGCCGCAGCAGCAACCTGTTTCCAGTTGTCGTAGCAACCACATGCTCCAAAACCTGATTTTGTGGCGGGTTGTCGCCAAATGTGGGCGCACGTGGGCAACAGTGGTGTCATGAACTTGCCAATCCATTCCGGTGAAACCAACAAGGAGAAATTTTTTGTGGAAAGTCAGAGGAAGACTTTTCTTATACAGCTGAATCAGAAACTAAAACTTAGAAGATCTCCTCCTTCCCTTTTGTCAAAATCTTGAATAATATAATTAATTTTTAATGAAACCAATTGTGCATTTTTTATTGGGTCTCATAAAAACAAATAAAAAGCCAATTGTTTTACTGCTTTTGCTTTGCGGTTGACACGCAATGATTTCCATATCTAGGTTCCAAATGTAAAGAATTACTAAAAATGTCAATACCTAAAAAGGATATACCTAAAAAAGAATAAAAGGTTACACAGAATAGTGTTCGTGGAAAAGGAAAAGAAAGAATATATGTTTTTGATCAGGATCAATAACCAAGTCGAGCAAGCAATGTGTGCCTGTCTGTCCACTTATCCGTCCGTCAAGGTCTTGGAAACTTTTAAATCCTTAGATTATTATTTATTCCAGTTGAGCATGCGCAGTGCAAATTAATTCTAAAATTTAGCCAAGCTCGTTCTCGGAAACTAAAAAATACAGGGATTACGATTTACGCCCATTCTGACGCTCACAAAACGCCAAACTCCGCATTGTAGCTCTAAATCATTATAGAGGGAAGTTATCGGTCGCTAGAAGATGTTTGGTCAATTTCTATCAAAATAATTTGCATATTAGAAAAACGGAGTAAACTTAATTGGGAGAAAGGAAGAGAAGGAATGTATTTTTAGCGGGGGCGGTACTACTCTCTCATAGCTGTAAGGTTGACCCTGCGGCTCGACAGTTGGCAACCACCTAAAATCAGATTACATTCTTTGAGCATATTTATTTTGAAATTGGCTATAGCCAGAGAAAAAAAAATGACCCAAAAAGTAAGAAAATTACCTAAAATTTTAGGAAACATGACCTAAAAAGGCCGCTAAGATCATTTATGGCCTAATGCTTAGGAATCCATGGCCTTAACATTTCAGGCCAGATATGACCTTAAGCTAAAGAAAAAAGGACTATATTTCAAGTTATTGACAGCTTTAAATTTGTAGAACAAATTAAGGCTACTCAAGACCTTAAATTTTGGGAAGAAAATTACCTTATTTTTGACTTACTGGCGACCTAAAAACTGGAAAAAACTCCCAGTCCGAATTTAGGTCATTTACGTCTTAAAAAAACAATGAAACATGACCATATAATTATTATAAAATTTACCAGTTATTTACATTTATTTATTTATTAAACTAAAATTTGAATTTGTTTTTTTTTATTGTTTTATTTGTTTTAAAATAATTTTATCATAATTAATTATAACTAATAACAGCTAATTAAAATTTTTCGGAGGAGCGTTTATGTATTCTCTTCAGGTTAATTAATTTAAATGGACACATCCTTCCACTTCATAACAACAACAATTTGGGCTAAATGTTGTCACAAGTTTTTGAACAAAAATTTAGGTTTCTCCTTCATATAAAATATTGTCTTTTATAATAAAAAACTTGATATTTGATATTTTCAAATATAACATATTTTTTGTTAATATCGTAATCGAAAATTTTTACAATACGTAATGCATTTTGCCGATGTAAAATCTTTTTTGGATTAACTTTTTGAAATTATTGGTAATGTGTCGAATTTTTGAATCTACATGATGTGTTACTGTAAACAATGTCCTTCTTTTTATAGTTAAGAATCTTGTCAACAAAATTTAAATTAATTTTATAATTTATTAAAAATTTCCAGGCTCTAATGCTCCTTTACCCGTTCTTGAGCCAACTGTTTAAACTTTGTTTTGAATGTAATCCACTAATTTTCCAAACAGAGTTCTACGCCAGGGTATTTGAATTTAAAATCTCGAATTATCTACTAAAAAATATAAACATATTAAAACCATAAACGCCAACCAGAACACTACAAAAGAAACCAATTCTTGCCCATGCACACATATATAAATAACCATTTGCGCACACTTTTTATTGTAAATGCGCATTAATTCGATTCCAGAAAAATTTATTTAAATGTGATTTTGGCCACCAAGAAAATATCTTGTTTAAATCCGTTTTAAAAAACAAGCAATTAAATGCGTATATATAAAGTTACTTGCACTTGCAGTTTCAAGAAATTACGAAATGCGCGTGATTTCTGTAAGCGATTGCATGCCACCGATTTAAGGCGATAACCGTAAATCTATCTATCGAAAT